AAATATTTTTAATTGTCTATCACTTGAATCTTTAGTTGAATCAGTATTTTTGAGACCAGAAATGTTCATTTGAATTCTATATTGTCATGGACTAATTGACCTCTGTCCTGACACTTTTGATTTGTTGATTTTGTACTGTGTGAAGTAATTACATTGATTAGAATTAGATCTGATAAAAACACAAATTAGAGAAGTAAACTGAATCATTGCGCTTGCTTTTGTCTGAGGGACAGAAGCAACAGCATGAATAGAAATTGATTAGGATTAGAATCAAAGTGACTAACCATAGAGAGTAACTATTGCATAACAAGCTGTGTACAGGAACTGAGACACTGCACCATTGACCAGAAGTGCATCGCAAATGACCTGATGTGCTTCAAGTGAAAAGACTGTATCTGGAGATCCTGATGTGCATCTGGGGAGACCAAAACCATGGCTTGGACCCTACTGATGTCCAAGATGACCTGACCTGATGACGACTGAGACTCACCCTCAGGGGACCCTGAGGAATCTGAGGACCTGAGGACCTGAGAGAGAAAACTGGGGAGTGATGTTTATATTTCTAAAATCATACATTGATGAGTGCTAAATGAGAGAGATACTCATGATTCTTTCTTTTGTTTTTGTTTGTCCCTAGCTTCTGGACATCTGATGATCTATTGGACACAGACATTTGCAGAACAAGAACCAGCCAATGAAAACGTCTATTGCCGATGCTATTGCTACAACCAGAACCTGTGACCAAATGCAATATACATGTTAAGTATTCAGACATCTGACAGACAAAAACTTTGACTTTTTAGTCTGGGAGACTGAGCAACTGTCAAAATGTTTTAAAATGATAAAGTATGAGTATTGTAGCGTTTTAGTAGATGTTAAATAGTAGTAAAAGAGTAGAATTTGATTTCCTTTGTTGTTCATAAACATATTTCCACATAAGAGTTAAAATAGTACCATACAATGTTATCCTTCTGATAGAGCAGCTAAAATATTAGAATCAGAGTTATGTTACAGCCATTAAAAGTGACAGAAGTCACAAATTAGGAATATGCTTTGCTCAAGCTGCAACCGAGCTTTAGAGCCACAATAGTGTAAAAATAGAGATAGATAAATGCATCAACCATAGATGCTTTCAAAAATAGAGATTATTTGTAGCCAGTGTTAATATCAAATGGTAAAGGGACCATTTCACAAACCTTTACTTCAAAAGTAGATAAAGTTACTTACAGTTTTATGTACAGTTTTATTAGATACTTGTCAAATTCACTTGTTTTCAAACATTGGTGAATGTTGACAATACAAAAAGTCCATATGAGTGTAGCCGAGATTAATGCCTAGATTAATGAGATAGATTAGAACCAACAGAGATTCAAAAGCATTTAAAAGCATTTTGATCTATTTGTGTATAGCACAAAAACATCCATCCATCCATCCATTTTCTACCCTTTAATCCATTTCTGGGTCAGGGGGGTGGCAGTCAGAGATGCCACCCAAGTCTCATAGCACCAGCCCCTCACTGACCCTCTGCAGGTGGTGAGTCCACAGGAGGACGGCTGCTCTCTGAGTGTGAGCATAGCCTTGATCTTTCAGTGGGAGCTTTTTGGGCAAAGTGGGGTTAAGTGTCTTGCCCAAGGACACAACGACAGCAGTCATCAGTGGGAGTCGGTGGAGAAGGTGCAGAGGTGGGAATTGAACCCACAACCTTCTGGGCTTAAGGCCAATGCTCTACCAACTGAGCTACTGTCGCCCCTAGCACAAAAACAGTATAGTAGATATTTAGATATTTAGATATTGAGAAGTTTCCAGCACAAACACCATTGTAGAATAACTGACCCCAAACCTGCTAAAATAGATTAGCTCTTGTAAGGATAATACTAATTTGATTAAAGATGGACATTCATCCCAAACTGCCTGAGAGGAGGAAGTGACAGCACTTCCTGGTTCAACAAATGTATTTGGAAAACTGACCGCCATAATAATGTTCATATTAACCATTTGCCTTACTGTGTTCACAGTTTAATTCCTGAGAATGAGAGTGGACATAGAGCAAAATCCCACTGATAATAAGCCACTGATAATGAAAGTAAACCACAGAGAGATTTATTAGATTAAAATGTATGTTTAAGAATATGGCTCAATAGAAGCAAATATACAAACATATTTGTAAATAGATTAGAATAGTTTTAAACTATAGTGAATAGTAAAAGTAAAGTACACAGTCTAAGATTGAAAAGTGAAAATACAGTGAAGTGAAGTGTAAACAATTAGCATTAGAATAAAAGTATAGAGTAATAAAAGTGAAATTAGCTTCTAATTTGAGACTCAGCTCGTTTTTGTCTGTGTTTTGACTGAATCTGCTGAGTTCTTGTGTGTCCAATAGTGTTTGTTTGTTTTTATTTTTGATCTGTTTTTGTTTGTTTATTTTTTCCCAGGATAGAGGTTAAAATCCACTGATATTGATTTGATGATTATGAGTTTAATGCATACATTTTCCTTGTTTTTAATAATTTTTTAAAGTTTTTTTTTTTTTTTGAATTTTTTTTTCTTTTTCCACTTTATTGATTAATCAATTTGAGTGATCACATGTGATTATGTGATCAAAGGGGAGGGTGTTAGTATTAGATAGCAATATGGCCTACGTGCAGGACTCTACAAGGACTCTACAAGGACTCCATGTTATGACTATGATGTGACTGTCTCTTTGTGACACGTACGTCTTTCCATGTGTGACGTGACAATGACTATATAAACTGTGTACTGCCTTTATTCTGTCTGAGGGAAGGAAACAAAGTAAACCATTGGAACTTGAGAGAAACTTAAATAAACTTCCAGAGTTTGGCACACCACGATCCGTCTCTGTCTGCTGAATCCCTGACACTATTACAATAGGGGTGGGCGATATGGCCTAAAATTCATATTGCGGTATAATTTGGGACACAGACGGTAGACGGTATATATTGCGGTATATTTTGGTCTAGCAGGTTCTTGCATAAAATAGTCAAGATTGTTACTTATTTACATATTATAACCTAATATATATAATTTTTGAGTTATTCAGTTGTGAGACGAATAAAGAGACAAATGTTGTAACATACATTATTTCTGTATGTTACAGTAAATACCATTCACTGTAAAAGCAATTTTTAAAAAGAAAAACATATGCATTTATTTAAAATATAAAAAACTCACAAATGTTGAAATCAAAGTCTGTAGGAGTTAGACATGGTCATTATTTAAAGTGTCTGAGAGTTTTGTGCAGGTACATGGCTTCAGTAAAAGCTATTGTTTTGTGAGATTTCATAACACTTTTAAGCAACTTTTGTTAAAGTTAAACTCATCATTCTATCAATGGCAGAAGCCAGTACTTTTCCACTTCATGTTTTGACTATCTCTACATGGCACCGTGGAAGCTGCTGATTGGAGGTCTCCATGCCTCCGCTCTGTATAATACACTTGCATTCTGTTGTTCGTGTGCTTTGTTCGTGCTGTCTCTACCATCGACAATAAAACATGTCTTCTGTCTGAATGAAAGACGCGATCCCAGACTATGTCATCTTCTTCAGTTTGTTTACAAAGCTGGTCTTGCCATTTGTTGACGCTCCCTAAGCGCTTTTCTCTGCACTTGCAGTGAACTGGATGATTCAATGGATTTATGTTCATTAAAACAGCACATTGGATTTGAACAATTGATGTATCAATCAATCAATCAAATTTTATTTATAGAGCCCTTTACAACACTCAAGGTGACCAAAGTGCTTTACAATAAAATCACATAAAATGCATTAAAAACATTAATTCAAACAAAAATAAAAATAAAACAGTAAGATAAAAAAGTGTTGCCGTGCTACTGAATGTTAAAAGCCAGTCTGAATAAATGTGTCTTGAGCCTGGATTTAAAAAGGCCAAGATCAGTGATGGTGCGCATTTCAGGGGGCAGCTTATTCCAGAGTCTGGGTCCAGCGACTGAAAAGGACCGATCACCCCAACGCTTGGACCTGGTCCTAGGCACTTCCAGCAAGAGCTGATTTGACGACCTCAAGGACCTGCCCGAGTCACGAATAGTCAAAAGTTCAGACAGGTATGAAGGGGCAGGACCATTGAGGGCTTTAAAAACAAAAAGAAGAATTTTAAAATCAACTCTAAAAGAAACTGGAAGCCAATGTAAAGAAAAAAGGACTGGGGTGATGTGCTGACGTCTGGGAGTGTTTGTTAAAAAACGAGCTGCAGCATTTTGCACCATTGTAAATGATCATTTTGACACAATTCATTTTGTTTAACAAAGTAGCTTTCGTGAGCTATTGACCGCGGAGGTCAGAATCTGACGCTAACTTTCTCAAACTTCTGCTGTGATGCTGCGGACACGGCACACGCATGGATCTATTTTGGCTCACGCTGGCGCTTCGAGCCTACGCCCCTTTGACACTGATTGGCCGAAAGGTAGACGCTTAAACTGTGATTACTGTGTGTGTATTTACCTCTGCTGGGGCCGCTGTGACAACAACACAGAGACAGAAACACTGTGTTAATGCCGTGCTGTTGTTCGCTGTTTCCAGTGGTGTCTGCTAGGCTAATGCTGCTAGGCTAATGTGCAAGGCTAATGTGCTAGGCTAATGCTACTGAATGCCGGTTTGTTTTGATGCTCTCTGCTGGCGTCAGAGCCTGCGCAATTTGATGACATAATGACGTATCGCAATATGCCGGTATAACAAAATTCTCTACCGTGGGCCAAATTTATATTGCATACCGCTTATACCGTTTATATCGCCCAGCCCTATATTACAACTACTACTACTACTAAAACTACTGATATAATCTGAGATATATTCACAGCTTACATCAATAACAAAATATTAGTTCTATTCATTGATGGCTTTTAATGGCGGCCAGCTGGGAAAGCATTTAACAAAAAGTATCAGGCATTATTTGAGTTCTATTTGCGTCATCAGTTTTATATATTGCACTATTTGTACACATGTATGTGTGTGTAGCAGAGGCCTCACCCTTGCAGACAGTCCCCACAGACGGCGTTGCTGGTGCTGGAGCAGTTCTCTTTGTGGAGGCGGTTGATGAGGCCGCAGTCCAGGCACGGCTTACACTTGTGCAGCCCGTACTCCTCTTTGAACCGGCCGCTCCGACAGGGCACACACCGGGCATCCTCTCCATAACCAAAGCCACATTCCTGCAGGGATTAAAGCAGAAAGCAGAGCCGGTTAGAGCTGGGGTGGCAGCTCCTGGGGGGGGGGGGGATGCGCAGCTGGTGTTAAAGGGGGTCCGGAATTAAAGAATGATCTTGGCTCGTGGGATCAACACAGAACAATGGCCGCCTCTTTGGAAAGTCCATCTTACACGGGCAATGATCGGCCTCAGTCTCCCGTGTGAAAGAGTGGCCTTCCGCTGCGAGGCCCAGAAAGGGAGCTCATTTGAATCAGAAAGGCCCCCGGGACACCCACTGTTGTATTATGGGCAGTTTATGGCAGAGTTTTTGTTTGAACACCTCTCGAAGCAGACTTTACGTACAGGCCTCGAGCGGCTGAAGGAAGGAGCTGTGCACTTGTATGGGCTCTTGTAAAGATAAGCACCACCTCTTGGAGACTGATCTCAGGGTCAAAGGACCAGGGCGGCTTTTCAGAAACAAGAGCAGGCATTTGGTCTACAACTCTAAATACACTATATATACACTACACACTTAAATACCGACACAAACTATGCAGACACCTATGCAGACACCTATGCAGACACCTATGCAGACACCTTTGCAGACACCTAGGCAGACACCTTTGCAGACACCTTTGCAGACACCTTTGCAAACACCTATGCAGACACCTTTGCAGACACCTATGCAGACACCTATGCAGACACCTTTGCAGACACCTTTGCAGACACCTATGCAGACACCTATGCAGACACCTATGCAGACACCTATGCAGACACCTATGCAGACACCTATGCAGACACCTTTGCAGACACCTATACAGACGCCTATGCAGACACCTATGCAGACACCTTTGCAGACACCTATGCAGACACCTTTGCAGACACCTATGCAGACACCTATGCAGACACCTATGCAGACACCTTTGCAGACACCTTTGCAGACACCTATGCAGACACCTTTGCAGACACCTATGCAGACACCTTTGCAGACACCTTTGCAGACACCTTTGCAGACACCTTTGCAGACATCTATTCAGACACCTATGCAGACACCTATGCAGACACCTGTGCAGACACCTGTGCAGACACACAACCTATGCAGACACCTTTGCAGACACCTATGCAGACACCTTTGCAGACACCTATGCAGACACCTTTGCAGACACCTATGCAGACACCTATGCAGACACCTTTGCAGACACCTTTGCAGACACCTATGCAGACACCTATGCAGACACCTTTGTAGACACCTATGCAGACACCTATGCAGACACCTATGCAGACACAACCTATGCTGACATCTATGCAGACATCTTTGAAGACACCTTTGCAGACACCTTTGCAGACATCTATGCAGACACCTATGCAGACACCTATGCAGACACCTTTGTAGACACCTATGCAGACACCTATGCAGACACAACCTATGCTGACATCTATGCAGACATCTTTGAAGACACCTTTGCAGACACCTATGCAGACACCTATGCAGACACCTATGCAGACACAACCTATGCTGACATCTATGCAGACATCTTTGAAGACACCTTTGCAGACACCTTTGCAGACACCTTTGCAGACATCTATGCAGACACCTTTGCAGACATCTATGCAGACATCTATGCAGACACCTATGCAGACATCTTTGCAGACACAACCTATGCAGACACCTATGCAGACACCTTTGCAGACACCTATGCAGACACAACCTATGCAGACACAACCTATGCAGACACCTTTGCCGACACCTTTGCAGACACCTATGCAGACACCTATGCAGACACCTTTGCAGACACCTTTGCAGACACAACCTATGCAGACACCTATGCAGACACAACCTATGCAGACACCTATGCAGACACAACCTATGCAGACACCTATGCAGACACAATCTATGCAGACACCTATGCAGACACCTATGCAGACACCTTTGCAGACACCTATGCAGACACCTATGCAGACACCTATGCAGACACCTATGCAGACACCTTTGCAGACACCTATGCAGACACCTATGCAGATACCTATGCAGACACCTATGCAGACACAACCTATGCTGACATCTATGCAGACATCTTTGAAGACACCTTTGCAGACACCTTTGCAGACACCTATGCAGACACCTTTGCAGACACCTATGCAGACACCTATGCAGACACCACCTATGCTGACATCTATGCAGACATCTTTGAAGACACCTTTGCAGACACCTTTGCAGACACCTATGCAGACACCTATGCAGACACCTATGCAGACACCTTTGCAGACACCTTTGCAGACACCTTTGCAGACACCTTTGCAGACACCTTTGCAGACACCTTTGCAGACACCTTTGCAGACACCTTTGCAGACACCTTTGCAGACACAACCTATGCAGACACCTATGCAGACACCTTTGCAGACAAAACCTATGCAGACACCTACGCAGTCCGACCAGGATTCGAATCCGGGACAATTTTTCTGAGAACCAATAGTGCTAACCACTCTGCCAGCATGCTGCCTGAATGAACAATTGAACAACAAGTGACTGGAAGCTTCTACATGAATGACCAAAAATAATATCAAAACTGGTAAAAATCCAAATGTTTAATTCTTTGCTGAAAAAGGTCTCTTCAATTGCGATTAACAAACTCATTTTGTAGTTGATTTGACTTGATCAGTGGGGAGCCGGTGTCTGTCAGCTGGCCTGGGATCACCTTAGATGGTTCTTGCTGTGTGAGTTGGAGGAGTGTGAGTCTCTCTGCTCAGATGGTTCTCGCTGCCCCCGCGACCCGGCAACGGATAAAGCGCAAGTAAACGGACAGATGTCTTGTATAGTGAATCTGTAGGTTTTTTTTACCCTTTACTAGTACTAACACTGTATATTAGTAATAACACTAATAGAGTAATACTATATCAGAGACAAATACTAACAATGAAAAACAACATGTGTTTTCCCAAATGTTAAATACGAACTCAGTTTCTAATGTGTCTGTGTGAAAAGGCCGTGACCAGTCAGACCCGCTCATGAGCAGACGGTGGTCAGATGTCTTCCAAGGTGACTTCATCCATGGATCACGTCTTATGAGCTCAGAGACAGCTGCCCCGGTGTGGCCCATGCACTGCTGCTCCGTCTGCAATGTCAGGCCTCGCTGGTGTTTGGGACCGGGCTCATATATCATTAAACTGAAGGTCGGCTTCAAACGTCTGCGCTCTCTTCACCCGTGTCCCCTTTCAGTGCCCGGGCATGTGGAATGTGGGCGCTGGACCCTGATCCGAGGGCTGGCGGAGAGCGGGATCTTTGTTGGCTGGGATTAAAAGGCATGTTAAGAGAGTCAAAGGTATGAGAATTTCATGGATCAAAAAGGTTGGAGAGGATGGAAAGTGAAGAATTTGGTTGTTCCAGCCACATAATCCACACACTGAGCTCTCCTGGGCCAGGCCTGGAACGAGGTGCAAGCTTTGCGCAGCTGTTGGGTGATAAGAAGTCCATATAAGGCCTTTTCCTCTGCTAGAAGAAGACTTTAGAGCAAAGAAATACACAAAAAGTAGAGTTGCAGAGAGACGTGTGTAAACAGGCTGAATCAGATAAATATGTCTAATATTAAAGATGTAGACACTAAAGATCTTAAAGGTGCAGTAAGCGATGTTGTTAGCTTAGCCGTAGCACCAACTCAAACCACTCCCCCTCCTCTCCCTCTCCACCAAACCAAACATCCAGGATTTTCTTTTCTTTGTCACAACAGGGAGAGTGAAGCAAACGTGAAACTGGCATTTTCTGTTCAGCCATTTTAGGTTTTAGAAAATCCAATAACTCCGGTGCACTCGAGAGAAACAGGAAGAGGGTGAAGGCGGTAAACGCATCCCATTGGTTCGTTGGGGACGAACGAATCCCATTGGTTTATTTTTGTCGGTCGGCTCCAAAATATGTTTTATTTATTTTTGCAGACTATAGGCATCTGCTCAATTCCACTATTTGAAAACACATGATAACTTGACTACTTTTAGGGTTTAGGGACGTTTTCCTAGCCTGGTTGTACCACACCATAGTACAAACTACATTTCATACTAAGGTCTGGATTTGCTCCATTGACTCCGTGAACAGGTGGGAGGGGTTAACTCCTTTTGCAGATTGAAACGATTGGATCTGAGTTTACCGTGACGTATGTGGTGCGCCTGAGTCTGTCGTTAGCATTTAGCATTTAGCCTAGCTTTAGCCACCTCCTTTGCCGCTAACGGAACCCGTGGGGAGTAGCGCCACAATTTTTTCCAGCGATTACATTTGCTAAACATTCCTCTTGCTCCGGCTTCAATTTCTTGATAGATCCAGACCGGAATACTTTACTATTGCATTTTTCGCCATTGCCAAACTACAACCTTCCCGTTCGGCGCAAACTCTTGACGTAACCCTCATCTAACTACAACACCCGCCTCCCACGCTCGCTGATTTGTCGGTCGAAATTCAGCCGATTGTAACCGCAAACACAGGAACCAGACCCAGACGTTATATGCAGTGAAATGACGATTGAGCGGAGTGTACGGATGGATAAGGCCAGGCTAACGTTTTCCCACAATATTTAAAAAAAAAATCTGGTAAAAATCCCTGACTGCATCTTTAATATCAGTCTCTTAAGCAGTGACACTAATATTCTGTGAAGTATTTGACCCACTTCCACATGAAGGACGTCCAGCACCAGTCGTCCCAGCTAATCCAGACCAGGCCCAGTACAGCTCTGCTCATGGGGCACCGTGTGGGCGGTTGGGGGCCGCTGCCACACACACAGGGGCTACAGCTTCTGCCCTCTGATCCAGCCACATCCACCACTCAAGCTCTTTGTTTCCCAAGTCATCAAATCCTACCAACGACAGCTTCTACAAACCAAATCTGCAGCAAAATGGTTTCAAGATGATCCGCAGCATCAGAAAGTGGAGCAAAGAAACTGTCTAGGTCAGTGGTGGGCAAACCCCGGCCCGTGGGCCAGATGCGGCCCTTTCAATGCTTCTATCAGGTCCCTGAGCCCTCCTCAATTTATATAGATTAAGATTAAGATCAAGAGAGATGAGGATTAAGAACATTTATTCATCCCACAGTGGGGTGATTTCAGTTTAAACGTCATACAATCCCCCTCTGTGCTGTGTGCAGAGCTATTTTTTTCATATAAACCATACATTTATCTTTTAAAATGAAGCCTGAGAAAAACACTGGAATATCAGATTGCTGTCGGGATCCGGACCTAATTTCCAATGTGGCCCTCAGAAGGAAAAGTTTGCCCATGTCTGGTCTAGGTCTTTGTGGAGTTCATTTGAAAAGCAGGTAATCCACACAAGACTTTGAACTACAACATGTCGAGATACTAAAGGACAGATCAACATGAAGTAAAGAACCACCACACACTAAGAAGTAAAGTGTTGGATTGAATTGATTTTTTTTTTTATATAGCGCATGTCACAGATCATGGTCACACAAAGCACCAGTGATTTTCCGTTCGCTCCACACACGGTGAGGGCAGAAGCGGTGTACCATGTGGCCTGGTACACATGGTACACCAGGCCTTTCTGTATGTCTGTGCAGGACTCCTCCGGGTGCTACGGTTTCTCCTACCGCTAAAAACATGTACAATAAGAATGAAGGAAAGAGAGAGTGAGTGGATTGTGACGGTCCTGGGCTTTGAAGAGTGTTTGTCGTCTCACTTCTGCAGTACGCCAAAGTGCTTTGTGTGACCTTGAAATATGATATATACATATATATAAAAGCTTACTTAGTTACCGGAGCACCCAGAGGACACCTAAACAGAAACAGGGAGAAAATGGAAATTCAATACCCAAAGGCCTTATCTGGAAATGGAATCAAACCCAGGACCTTCTTCTTAATACGTCATGACCAGTGGGGGCGGGTCCCGGCTCAAAAGTGGCCATAATGACGTTTGCTGACATGCTGCAATACCACCCCGGGCCGATGGGGGTGGACCCGGAATCAGAATTATTCAATGCTAACATATAGCATTAGCAGACCTCTCGAAAACGTCTTTACAGGATGGTCCAAAAGTTGGCTCTTGGCCCAAAACTCCGTTCCACATGTGTGTCAATGCTGAGGGGGGTGTTTTGGACCAGTCTAGTTTAGTCTCTGTGAATTTTTTAAGTCTCTCGTTTAAATGAATGGGGCTCGTGCAGATGACGAATTCACAAATGTGTTTTTTTCACATTTTGAAACAGCCCATAGGCCGCGGAAGTTGAGGCACATTAGTTAGAACGGCAGAGACAGGCATGACTACGTCCGTTAATATTTACAGTCTATGGTCATGACAGACTTATTTAGAAAGGGTTTCTTAACTTTATCAATTAAATCCAACAGTGTGTTTCAACTGTGTCATCTACCTTCATGTCATTATTGTGGTTCACAGATCCTTATATCTGTGCTATAGACTGTTGCAGAAAGAAAACACTTCCCTCTCGCCACAGCTACCTCTCGGTGACACATCAAAAGAATCCGTGCCTTTTGCTCTTGGCACTTTTCCAGCAGCACTGCAGAGCTCTCCTCTCCCTTCAGGACACGACACAACAGACTCAACGAACGATTCACGAGTCGTATAAAGTGAGGCTGAAATATGTGAAGAATAATCGTGTAACGGCCGTGCCTTCTGTGTGGGTGGCTCTTTAGCTACAGTTAGTGACGAGGGGCTAATTGATGTTTTTCAGCCTCCAGAGGCAAACTTCCAGAGCAAACTGGGCCAAATTCCTCCAGGATCTCTATGGCAGCTGCACAGAGGGATCCAGGCTGCTCTGCTCCCAACACACACTTCTCAACAATATTCTCAGAGCGGCTTAAAAGACGGCAAGGCAAGTTTCTTTGTAAAGCACAGTTCATACACAAGGAAACTCAAAGTAGACTCCAAACTACGGCCACATCCTGCAACCTTCAAAGAAAGAGCGAGGCAGCCAATTATTAAGCAGGACCCCAGGGTGTGTGTGTGTGTGTGTGTGTGTGTTCACTCAGGCATAGAACATGTGTGCGACACATGTACACATGAGTGAGAGTGTTGCTCAGTCACCTTGGAGCACTCTTGGCAACACAACATTATAACTGACCTGCACCTCGACAACAAAACATTCAAGTGAACGCACAAGTCGGAAATATAGATAAACAAACTATGGATTTAAGGCTGTATTCTAGGGGTGGGAACCTAAGGGTACCTCACAATACGATACGATACACGATACAAAGCTCACGATAACGATTTTATCACGATATGACGATTATCGATATATTGGTCAGAAATATACAATATGCCAATTTATGGCATAAATAAAATAAAAAAAAACATTATTTCATGATAAATGGAATGGAGATGCGTAATGTAGCCATATATTAAGTATTGATACCATTTTTTTTTTTTTTATGTAAAAAATATTTTTTTCAAAATCGATATTGATACTTGGCAAATGCATATCGATAATCGAATCGCGGGAGAAAGTATCGTCACACCCCTACTGTATTCTGTCAAGACATTTTGATCAATCTGTCAATTAAAAAGGGTCCGTGGCTAATGCTAAACCTAATTCATGAAAAGACAGGTATTTAGGGTAAAAAACACTCATAATTTGTGAAAAAAGACAGATCAATGTAATAATCAAGCTAAAAAAAGTCTTAGTTCTAGTCTAAATGAAATGCGATCTGGGATAGAGAGGTCTTTTTGTGCCTCGTAAGTCTCATGGTTTCTTCTGGAGCCTGTAAGATATTAAACAGTGGCTGCTCCCGGTCAGTCCTCGGCACTGGGCCTGGAGCAGAGAGAGGCCTGGGGCAGAGAGAGGCCTGGGGCAGAGAGAGGCCTGGGGCAGAGAGAGGCCTGGGGCAGAGAGAGGCCTGGGGCAGAGAGAGGCCTGGGGCAGAGAGAGGTCTGGTGCAGAGAGAGGCCTGGGGCAGAGAGAGGCCTGGTGCAGAGAGAGGCCTGGGGCAGAGAGAGGTCTGGTGCAGAGAAAGGCCTGGAGCAGAGAGAGGCCTGGGGCAGAGAGAGGCCTGGTGCAGAGAGAGGCCTGGGGCAGACAATACACTGGTCCGAGATCCAGGGGCAGTAACAATGAGAGGCATTGAGCAGCAGAAGGTCAGCAGGACGCCTGGGACTGATTAAACAAGGGTCAGTGTTCTACAAAGGCCTGGCAGGTATTTCCATGAAAGACAGGAAGCAATAAATAATGTCCTTGTTTCCTCTACTTTGCTTTCACCAAAGTTTGGGAGTTTAGAAAAGAAAATCGACTCTGGGGAAACAGGTAGAATATGACTTGAATTGTCAGATGTTTGATCATTCTGGACATGTTTAAATGTACTAAAAATGTACTAAAATCATAATACCGCATGGGGAATGTGCTTGCCTTTACCACACATGCCGCTCAAGTCTCGTTAAAAAAGGTCTTGGGTTTGATTCCACCTCTTGACAGGGCCTTTCTAACTGGAGTTTACATGTTCTTTTCTTGCACAAGATTCCTCCAGATTCTCCGGTTTCCTCCAGATGCTCCAGTTTGCCCCTACCACTAAAAACATGTACGATTGCTCCCCTCTTTCTGGGCCCTGCAGTGCTACTTCCCAAATCCAGTGAACTCCCTCCTTCCTTGTCCTTCCTCATCCATTTGTGTGCTTTCAAATTGACCTTTTATGACACAGGACACAGCTTTGATCAAGTGACATGTAATACCAAGATCTTTTTTGAAGTCACTAAAGTCACAAATTAGTCTTAAAGTGAAGAAGGAAAGAATAGGAAGCATAGGGAAGGAGATACTTTTATGAATTTGGATGCAGCCCAAGATTCAAACAGATTCTGCACTTTCCTGAGTTAATAAAAGTCAATATATAAACGATTTGTTATGTAATGATCTTTAAAAGCCTTTTCTCTTTGATGTCTCTGTCGGGCACATTCCAAACCACAGAGAAGTTTCCATTAAAGAACAAGAAAGTTTTTATTTAGAATCTGTTTCTAAGTCGAGCATATTCCAAGGCAACAGAAAAGGTTGTATTCACAGTATGTACATCTGTTTAGTTTAGGAATTGTTTTTATTTAAACTGTTGTAAATGTTTTGGCTGTAGGAGAAATCGGAGTACACAGAGATTACTACAGACGCAGAGAGAACATGCAAACTCCACACAGAAAGGCCCTGTCTGGAGTCAAACCCAGGACCTTCTTGCATAAACTCAACGGCCAATTTGCACAAAAGTAACTCATGATCTACAAAGATGTCTGTAAATCCGTCACAAACCCACCCCCTTCTGTCTCAGTGCTCTGTTTTCAAACTTGTTATGACCAATCCTCAGACTATGACGACGTGAAGAGAGCCGTGTCCTGCTTTTTTTAATCAAAGTATTGTGTTTTCTTACAACAGCGTCCCTTCACAAAGGTCTCACCAGTTTAGAATTATAAAAGCAGAATGTAGTTTCGCACTTCCACCACTGGATGGGAGTGTTTCTTATTCCATTATAATTTGCATAACATCCACATAGTTTAAGCTGGAGTTTGTAACCTTCTTTTCATGAATGATAAATGTTGTTCGCCCAAAAGAGTTTTGTAAAAAGTGGAGTTGAGAGAAACACCAACAAGGAAACATATATATATCTTTAACAAAGGGAGTCAATAATTGTTGTTTTTGGGCGAGAGCTGATTGGCTGAGTGAGGGCGGTCCTCTCTTTTACACTTTCTGTCTGTAAAAAGTTTTTGAAATGAGTACCATGGTATGTTAAGACCAGGCTTGATTATGGAAGAGTCAACAATGTACCATTTCAACAGAATAAAGCATCTCATCAACTTATTACTTGCTATTTTTGAGGATTTTCACAGATTTTTAAGACCCACGGAATATTGTGTGCTATGTCTATGTGAAAAC